TTCTTTGGAAGGATGGGCAGCAGATTGGTACTTCAGCCTGCCACCTAATTCAATCCCAGATTGGGATACCATGACTGATCGATTCTATAGGACATTTTATAAACCATGGCCAATAGAAATTGAGATGTCAGAACATTTGGATGACGAAGGTACATCTTCTCAAACATATGATCTCATAGAAGGCACAATTGAGGAGAAGATTGAAACTGCCCTTGACCTTCGAGAGATGGGCACTTATCGCCCAAGGGATTTGTTCCCTTTATGGGTGTAGAGCAAACACCATTTCCTGAAGGATATGAACTTCCAAATTTTGTCCTATATGACGGGTATGGAGATCCTCAAAAACATATTAGGCGTTTTTTTGAAACAGTGTGGGGAAACAGCTCAAAATCAAGCACTTTGCCTAAAACAATTCCCCCTTTCCTTAGAGGGGATCGCCTTTGACTGGTATTGCTCCCTCGATGGAGTCGTGGTGCCTAGTTGGGAGGCCATGAAGAATGGTTTTGAAGAATCTCAATGCTTTTATAGGCGTGACTCCCGGTACCTAAGAAATGGGAGAAGAATGCAGCTCCAGGAAGATGGAGAAGTGACTGATGATGATGATCACCCTGCAGCTGGACCAGTTAACATGGTCCAAATAAGTGAGGGAATAAAAGAAGTTGAGGTCAACGAAAAGGTGGTTGCTGAAGTATGCCAGACTTATTTGACCTACCGGAGGAAATTATGAAATCCTCAGGACCCTCAAACGTCAGAAGTTCCACAGGTTTTGCTGGAGGAAGAGCAAGTGAAATATGATGTACTAGCTCATCTAAAGAAAATTCCAACATTGTTGAGTGTATATGATGCACTGAAAATGTCTCCCGAGCTTCGAAAGTCTTTAATATATGCCCTGTCCAAGCTAGAGGATTTCCACAAAGAAATCGAGGGTAGAAATCAAGAGAAGGAAACTACATGCATGGCTATGGTAACCTTTGGTGACAAAGACATGCGTGCTGAAATGACAGACCATAATCGGCCTTTGTTTATCACTGAGCTTATCCATGATGTGAAAATTTCTCGAATTCTAGTTGATGGAGGATCTGCGGTAAACCTCCTGCCTCGGAGGGCCTTAAACTTATTAGGGGTTCGAATTTCACAACTTCGCCCAAGTCGTTTGGTCATTCAAGGATTTAATCAGAATGAACAATGCCCAATAGGGAAGATTGAATTGCGAACCAAGTTTGGGGATATTGAAGAAAGCACTGAGTTCTTGGTCATTGATGTAGACACCTCTTACAATGCTTTGCTTGGGAGACCATGGATGCATAATCATCATGCAGTGCCATCAACTTATCACCAATGTATTAAGTGAAGCTTGAGTAACCAGCTTAGGGTTTGATAGAATATCATTCCCTATTTATAAATGAAGATTAGGGTTTACAAGATGAGACAATTACAAGTCGAGTCCTAAGGGCATAGAGTAATTACAAACCACAAAAGCTCAGATAATAATATAATATGCTAACACTCCCCCTCAAGCTAGTGCGAAGATATCTTTCATGCCCAGCTTGCCTAATATGTCATGAAATGGTTTATTCCCAACCCCCTTGGTGAGAATGTCAGCAAGTTGTTCACCAGACTGGACAAAAGGAGTACAAATGGTACCACTAGTGAGTTTCTCCTTAATGAAGCGGCGTTCAATCTCAACATGTTTTGTCCTGTCATGTTGAACTGGATTGTGAGCGATGTTGATGGCGGCCTTATTATCACAGTATAACCGCATGGAGTCTGTTTGATCAATACCTAGATCACTCAACAATAACTTGATCCATAAAAGTTCACACACACCTTGTGCCATAGCTCTAAACTCAGCTTCTGCACTTGACCTGGCAACCACATTCTGTTTCTTACTCCTCCAAGTAACTAGGTTGCCTCCAACAAAGGTGCAATACCCTGAAGCCGATCTCCTATCAGTTACTCATCCAGCCCAGTCAGCATCTGTATAGGCTTCCACACGAAAATGATCATACTTTGAAAAATAAATACCCTTACCAGGAGCACACTTCAAGTACCTCAAGATTCTCATGACAGCCTCAAAGTGAGTCTGATGAGGAGCATGCATAAACTGACTAACCATACTGACAGCAACAGCAATATCAAAACGGGAATGAGATAGGTAAATGAGCTTACCCACTAATCGCGGATAGCTCCCCCTATCAATAGCTTCTCCTCCTTCATCATCCCCCAATTTCTGATTGGGTTCTAGTGGGGTGGCACATGCCTTCCAGCCAAGCATCCCAGTTTCCTTCAACAGGTCAAGCACATATTTTCTCTGTGAGATAAATATCCCATCCTTAGAGCGAGCAACTTCAATTCTCAGAAAATACTTCAAGCTTCCCAAGTCTTTGATTTCAAACTCACTAGCTAAATATTTCTTCAATAGAGGTATTTCCCCACTATCATTGCTCGTAAGAACTATGTCATCCACATAAACAATAAGTGTTGTAGTCTTACCACGTGAGGAATGTTTCACAAATAAGGTGTGATCTGCCTGACTCTGTTTGAAGCCATATTTAAACATACCCTGAGTGAATCTCTCAAACCAAGCCCTTGGAGACTGTTTGAAACCATATAATGACTTCCGAAGCTTGCATACTTTGCCTTCTGTCTGATGATCCTCAAAACCAGGAGGAATGTCCATATATACCTCTTCTTCGAGGTCACCATGAAGAAAGGCATTCTTGACATCAAACTGATAAAGCGTCCAATCTAGATTAGCTACTAGAGAGAGAAGTACTCTGATTGAATTCATCTTAGCCACGGGTGCGAAGGTCTCCTGATAATCAATGCCATATGTCTAAGTAAACCCTTTTGCCACAAGTCTTGCTTTGTGTTTCACAGTATATACCCATTTACATCTCACAGGTCGTTTGCCCGTAGGTAACTCAGTCAATTCCCAAGTGCCATTCTTCCTAAGTGCTTTCATTTCCTCAATCATGGCTAGTTTCCACTCAGAGGTAGCAAGAGCATCTTGAAAATGGTTAGGAATGCTAACAGAGGAAATATTGGACACAAACGCTCTATATGAGGATGACAAATGAGAGTATGACACAAAATGTGAGATAGGATGTTGAGTACAAGATCTCACACCCTTCCTCTTGGCAATAGGAACATCAAGATCAATGGACTCAAGAGATTCAACGTTACCTAGACTCTCATCAGAAGCAGGAGATGGCAGTGGAGGAGCAGAAGTGGTCCCTTGTATCCAGTTAACTTGTTGTCTGTCTATATCCCGGACATAAACATGTCCGTCCTTATCGTTGGTGACATTGGGTTCTATAGTCCCAGTAGAAGAGGGTGGTGCAAAAACAACTGGTTCCACCATAGGAAAAGGCAACAGATGATCAACCAGGTAAGTTTCGAACCCTAGAGGATCGTTGGTGCAAAGGTCGACCAACCCTAGATGAGTCGAAACCCTAGAGTTTCTGCTTTGATACCATGAAGCTTGAGTAACCAACTTAGGGTTTGATAGAATATCATTCCCTATTTATAAATGAAGATTAGGGTTTACAAGATGAGACAATTACAAGTCGAGCCCTGAGGGCATAGAGTAATTACAAACCACAAAAGCTCAGATAATAATATAATATGCTAACATTAAGTACCCGTTGCCTTCACCCAAAAAAGAGGGGACAATTGTGGCTGACAATGATCCATTTGGAGAAGTAGAGGCTTATTATGCTGATGCTCACTTCTATACAAAGACTTCACAAAGAAAGGGAAAAGATGTGAAAAAGTCTGAAGATACTCCGAATGTCAAAGACGCTCTAGAGTCTACTCTAGTTTCAACAAAAAGAACTTTTCGATATGTGCCAAAGTCCGAAAGGAAACTGGGGGCAAAGGCTCTAGCCCCAATAAACCCAATTGGATCTCAAGGGTGAGTTCACATTGCCATTAAGGAGGACAGAATGCACCTATGTGGAGAAATATAATAAGATTGTGGTCCCTTCTAAAGGAAAAGGGTCAAAACCCATCATATTCCACTCACTTGGAGATATTGAACAGAAAGTGAAAGTTGAACAAGTGCCAGAAGAAAACATCTCGAGTTTTGAGAAGCCTACCTTCAGTGCAGAAATTACACAGATGTTGGTGAAAGTTGGTTTCGATCCTGAAAAAATACCAGAAACAATAACACCATTTGACTTTGCATTAACACCTTCGCAGAGATAGGCTATCCAACAAGGCGGTATTATCACCACCAGGACAGAAGGGTTAGGCTATCGGGGGGATGAGGAAAAATTTCCAGTAAACATGACTATCACTCAAGATGTGTTGGAAGATGTTGACCAAGATGAAGCTCAACCTGCACCAACAGAATTTGAAGCAGGAGGCCAAGCCACCGTGGATGACCTTCGTGAAATAAATCTGGGTGATGAAGGAGAAAACAAACCAACCTTCATTAGTGCAAATTTAAAGGAAGAAGAAGCTCGGCAATATATTTCCATCTTAAGGGAGTATCGTGACATATTTGCATGGAACTACAGTGAGATGCCTGGTCTTAATCCAGAGATTGCAGTCCATAAGCTTGCAATTCACCTTGAGAAACGGCCAGTTAAACAGCCTCAGAGGCGAACTCGACCAGAGCTTACAGCCCAAATTGAAACCGAAGTCGACAAGCTTATCAATGCAGGATTCATTAGGGAAGTCCAATATCCAACCTGGCCAGCAAACATCGTGCCGGTTAAGAAAAAGAGTGGTCAAATAAGGGTCTGCATTGATTTCCGGGATCTCAATGAGGCTTGTCCTAAAGATGACTTTCCCTTGCCCATCACTGAGCTTCTTGTAGATGCAACTACTGGGTATGAAACCTTGTCTTTTATGATGGATACTCAGGATACAATCAAATCCGAATGGCACCTGAAGATGATGAAATGACTGCATTCAGGACTCCGAGAGGAGTCTTTTGCTATAAGGTAATACCTTTTGGCCTGAAAAATGCTGGGACCACGTATCAAAGGGCGATGACTGTAATTTTCGGTGATATGCTCCATGACACCATTGAATGCTATGTTGATGATCCCGTCGTCAAGACTAAGGAGAAGGAAAACCATGTGGAAGATTTGAGAAGAATCTTCGAATGTTTGAGGAGATACAAACTCAAGATGAATCCACTAAAATGTGCATTTGGAATTTCCTCAGGAAAATTTCTAGGGTTTGTGGTTCGAAACAAAGGGATTGAAATTGCCCCTACTAAGATTAAAGCCATTGCTGAAATGCCTCCTCCGCAAAATTTAAGGGAATTGAAGGGGCTACAAGGGAGGTTGGCTTGTATCAGAAGATTTATTTCAAACTTGGCTGGTCAATGCTTGGCATTTTCAAGATTGATGAAAAAGGGTGTTCCATTTGAATGGGATCAACAGTGCCAAAACGCTTTTAATAGTATTAAGGAGTATCTTTTGAAGCCTCCAGTACTCATGAGCCCAATAAAAGGGAAACCACTCTCGTTGTACATAACAGCCCTAGGAATGGCAACGAGGCGGGGCGGGGCCGGGGATCACACTCCCCATCCCCGATCCCCGATGGTCGAATTTTTCTCCGCCCCGGCCCCGATCCCCGACGGGGAACCTATCACTACCCCCACCCCCGCCCCCAATGGGGATCGGGTTTCCCCGACCCCGAGCATTCCACGGCTAAAAAAAAAAAAAAAATCAGAAAATACAACAACAACATCATCATCCGAGACCAAGACAGATCTGAAATAGATCTAAAAACAAAAAAAAAAATGTGAAACAGATCTGAGAAAAAAAAAATCAGAAAATACAACAACAACATCATCATCCGAGACAGATCTGAAACAGATCTAAAAAAAAAAAAATTGTGAAACAGCTGTTCTCACAATGAAGTTTGCTCCTTGAGAAATAGAAACATTGAAGAACTTGATCAATGAAAAAAAGATTTTATTAATTGATCACAAAATTGCTGATGATATTGCAACAAAAACAGAAAAATGAAAAAAAAGAAATGCTACTCCCCAAGTCTGTACAAGCATAAGCTACTACCAGAAACATAAGCAAACCCACTTTGCCATCTGCTAGTTCATATTGCTCACCATTGTCTTCTTTCAAATTAGCTTAAGAGAATATGCCATTTGCAGATCTGAAACAGATCTGGAAAAAAAAAAAAAAATTTCAGAAAATACAACCTCATAAGAGAGGGAGTGGATGAGAGATGCGGTGTGGTGGCGGTGGATCTGAGAGAGAGAGAGAAGTCAGTGAGCTAGAGAGAGATGAGAGACAGAGATGGGGTAGAGAGGGATGAGAGAAGGAGACGGGGTATATAGACAGAGATGAGATCTGAGGGTGAAATGAAATGAGGGTAAAGTCAGTGGTTTAACATCGGGGATAAACCGGGGATAAAATAAGGGTAAAATCATTATTTAACATCGGGGATAAACCGGGCCGGGGATCGGGGACGGGGCCGGGCCGGGTACGGGGCTGGGACACTGATCCCCGTCCCCAGCCCGAATCTGTTCGGGGATTGATTTTTAAATACCATCCCCGTCCCGTCGGGGGTATTTGTCGGGGAAAACCCGTTCAATTCGGGGTCGGGGGATCGGGTCCCCGTCGGGCCGGTTTCAAATTGCCATCCCTAAACAACCCTGGATGGTTCGTTAGGGGCACTGTTGGCACAACACAATGAGCATGGGAAAGAAAATGCCTTGTATTTCTTGAATCGTACTCTGGTTGGGGCAGAAGTCAATTATTCTCCTATCGAAAAGACATGTCTTGCCTTGGTGTTCGCCTCGCAAAAACTAAAGCACTATGACCTGGAACACGAAGTCAAGTTGATATCAAGAGCAGACCCCTTGAAATATATACTTTCACGGCCCACACTTTCAGGAAAAATTGCAAAGTGGGCTGTAATTCTCGAACAATTCGCAATTGAATATGTTCCCCAAAGAGCTGTAAAAGGGCAAGCTCTAGCAGATTTTTTGGCAGCACATCCTATACCTGATGACTCCCCTCTAGTAACTGATTTACCAGATGAAGAAGTTATGCAAGTAGAAATTCAGAAAGGATGATAGATGTATTTTGATGGAGCTTCAAGGAGTCTAGATGGCAAGAAGTAAGAAAATCCTAAAAACAATAAAGCTGGAATTGGAATTGTGTTTGTGACTCCAGACAATGCTATAATCACCCATTCTTTCGCCTTAAGTGAAGGATGCTCCAATCATGAGGCAGAATATGAAGCTGTAATTGCTGGATTAGAATTGGCATTACAAATTCCTATTGAAGAACTCTCAATTTATCGAGATTCAGAACTGGTGGTAAAGCAACTCCATGGAGAATACATTGTTAAGAAAACAAATCCCATCCTGTATCATGAAAGGGCTGATCAATTGCTTTCGCAATTCAGGAAAACGCATATTTTCCATGTAAAGAGAAGAACAAATGCTCGAGCTGATTCACTTGCAAGTTTGCCTGCATCACTCACCCTACCAGATAGCAAAACAATAACTATCACGGTAGGTGAAAGAAGGGTGTTACAACCTTTAAAAGAAGTTTCTGACTTGGTTCCAATCTTGGTCGTCACCACGAAAGGAGAAAACGAGAAGGATTGGCGGAAACCATTCATAGCTTACCTCTAACATGGTAGGCTACCTGAAGATAAAGTAAAAAGAACTGAAGTGAGACGCAAGGCTGCCAAATTCGTCCTGTGGAAAGATGGAACGTTATACAAAAGTTCTTTGGATGGAATGTACATGCGGTGTATAGCCAATGAGCTTATTCAAGAGGTAATGGCAAACATACATGCAGGTGTATGTGGGGCACACCAAAGTGGTCCTAAATTACATATGCAGCTAAAACGATTGGGATACTATTAGCCGACTATGATTGCAGATTGCATAGATTATGCTCGAAGGTGCCAAGTCTGCCAATTCCATGGGAACTTTCTTCACCAACCCCTAGAGCCTTTGCATTTAACAACTTGTTCTTGGCCATTTGCAGCATGGGGTATGGATATTATTGGGGTCCTTTTACCTCCATCTTTAGCAGGATATCGATACATCCTAGCTGCTACTGACTATTTCTCAAAATGGGCAGAGGCCGTGGCTTTAAAGGATATAAAAAGCACAGTTGTCTCTGAATTCATCCGAACCCATATCATTTACAGGTTCGGGATTCCAAAAAGTATCATCATGGATAATGGACAGCCATTCAAGAGTGATGCTTTGAACAAGTTATTTGCAAAGTACAATATAAAAAACAACCATTCATCAAGATATCATGCACCTGCCAATGGTTTGACAGAAGCTTTCAACAAGACATTGTGCAAAATTCTCAAGAAGATGGTGGATAAGAACAAAAAAGCTTGGCACGAAAAGTTACAAGAAGCTTTGTGGGCTTATTGGACTTTGCACAGAACTCCTACTTAAGCAACCCCTTATTCGTTGGTTTTTGGAGGAGAAGCAGTGTTACCACTTGAGGTTCAAATACCATCATTGCGAGTGGCAATACAAGAATCCTTAACAGAAGATGAAAGTGCAAGAGTGAGGTTGGCTGAGCTGGAGACCCTGGATGAAAGAAGGTTGTATGCTCAACAGAACTTGGAAATCTACCAACAAAGGATGGCAAATGCATTCAATAAAAGAGTGAGGTTTCGTTCCTTTAAAAAGGGAGACTTGGTACTAATGGTTAGAACACCCATAGTAGTCTCGCGAAGAACCAAAGGAAAGCTTGAGCCCAAATGGGAAGGACTTGATGTGATTGAGAAGGTTTATTCTAGTGGGGCCTATTTGTTGATAGCGATGGATGGTGACAGAATCATTCCCCCAACCAATGCAAGGTTCTTGAAGAGATATTACCATTAAGAAAGCCTGCTAGGTTGAAAACCCGAAAGGGTGGCCTAGGCAAAAGTTAGGGCAGAAAAAAAAAAAAAAAAAAAAAAAAAAAAAAAAAAACACCAACGGTATTGTATGTGGTTAAACTGCTAAAATATCCCACTGAAATCTAAGGTGGTAAAACATTGGATACTCCTGGCCCGCAAGAGTATAAACTGTGTATGGCCAAACAAAAGTCAAAAAACCACCAATGGTATTGTATGTGGTTAAACTGCTAAAATATCCCACCGAAATCTAAGGTGGTAAAACATTGGATACTCCTGGCCCGCAAGAGTATAAACTGTGTATGGCCAAACAAAAGTCAAAAAACCACCAATGGTATTGTATGTGGTTAAACTGCTAAAATATCCCACTGAAATCTAAGGTGGTAAAACATTGGATACTCCTGGCCCGCAAAAGTATAAACTGTGTACGGCCAAACAAAAGTCGAATCCCAACAACGGTATTGTATAAACTGCTAAAAATATCCCGCCGAAATCTAAAGTGGTAAAACATTGGATACTCCTGGCCAGCAAGAGTATAAACTGTGAACAGCTAAAATAAGACAAATCAATGTATTGTATTGAGAAATTTCATATAACAAATAAATCTATCACTGAGTGAAATTTCATAAATATATTATGTTCGGATGAATAACAAAATAAAAGTGCATTCATTCATTAAAAGAAGCCTTAGCCCTTTCAAAGGCACGTTCCACAACACTGTGTTGTCCATTCTTCTTCTTATGTTGGCTCAAAACATTCAAAGTAGTTTGCACGTCTTCTTCTGATTTAGAAACATTCTCGGAAGCTTGTGCAAAATCACACATAAATGATGCATGTTCCGCTTGGGTGGATGACAATTCCTCTTCAAGTTGTTTGAGTAACTCTTTGGTTTGAATAATCCTTTGATTAAGACCCGCAATGTGCTCATCCGACTTGATAATTGAAGCAGACAACTGTTCATGTTCGCCAGAAACTTTGTCAAAATGAAGCTTTTTCTCGTAATGTTGGGCTTCAAATTCTACAGTAGACAAGTTTGAAGAATCTGCAAGTTGGGTTTTCAAAGCAAAGCACCCAAGGAATATCTTCACCTTCTCGTAAAAGGAGATGAAGTCTACACACAAACTCTTCTATAGAATGACGGACACAATCATTGCCAAGGATTCAAGCCGTTGGGGTGACGGACACAATTACTGCCAAGGATTCAAGCCGTTGGGGTGACGGACATAATCACTGCCAAGGATTCAGGCCATTGGGATGACGGACACAATCACTGCCAAGGATTCAAGCCATTGGGGTGACAAACACAATCACTGCCAAGGATTTAAGCAATTGGGGTGAAGGACACATTCACTGCCAAGGATTCAAGCCATTGGGGTGAATGACACAATCACTGCCAAGGATTCAAGCCGTTGGGGTGACGGACACAATCAATGCCAAGGATTTAAGCCATTGGGGTGACGGACACAATCACTGCCAAGGATTCAAGCCATTGGGGTGAAGGACACATTCACTGCCAAGGATTCAAGCTATTGAGGTGAAGGACACAATCACTGCCAAGGATTCAAGCCGTTGGGGGTGACGGACACAATCACTGCCAAGGATTCAAGCCGTTGTGGTGAAGGACACAATCACTGCCAAGGATTCAAGCCATTAGAGTGAAGGACACATTCACTGCCAAGGATTTAAGCCATTGGGGTGAAGGACACTATCACTGCCAAGGATTTAAGCCATTGGGGTGACGGACACAATCACTGCCAAAGATTCAAGCCATTGGGGTGAAAGGACACACTCACTGCCAAGGATTCAAGCCACTCATTGCCATTAGGTTGGAAAGGGCAATGATACCTACAAACAAACTCTGACGCCTTGCGGGTTGCCTGTAAAAGAGGGAAAAAGACATGAAATAATCGTTAACCAAAAAAAAAAAAGAAAAAGGAAATTAGTCATCATGATTCGTACAATTAAAATTTACTTGCACGAATCACGAGGGGGCAAGGCTGATTCGACTTTTAACAAAAAAATTTGGCCAATTGTACAAAGGGCTGCTACTAATACAAAATAAAATAAAAAGTAGCAAGTTTAACTACACAGCAACAAACAGGTTGCTGCTGTAAAAAAAAGGGACTGTCTTTGCAAAAATTTGCTAACTAAATAGATAGTTTGTTACCCAAATGATAGGTAAAGCAACCTGTGTTGGTTGGTTCTATCAAAAGAATATAAAAAATAAAAAATAAAAAATAAAAAATAAATAAATAAATAAATAAATTCTTGCTGCTTATAAAAAAAGAGGGCTCTTTTGTTTGTATAGGACAAGGACTTTATTTGGGCTAGTTAAGTTCATGATCTAACAATGTTAGAATTTATCTCCACCTACCACCTCCACTATCACACACTCCACCTACCACCTCCACTTCACTCCTACACCTACTACCACATTTTCTTCTATATATAGGAATTGTAAATATAGCAACAAATCAATCAGAAATCAATCAATAATACAATTCTCTATTTTTTTTATAGATTGTATTTTCACTTTTACATGGTATCAGAGCAGGTTTAGAACCTAATATTTTCGCTTCCCCGGCGGGTGGCAACCTCACCTTAGCCGCCCGCCGGACCTCAACCTAGTCCGCTAGAATTTTCTACACATACCTTTCGTTCCTCAGGCAACTGAATCCATAGTTGACTGTACTACACACTCTCTCTCTCCAACCTCTCTTCAAACACTTGCTCAAGAAATCTTTTGCCGGCTCGGAAAACCATCTCGGAAACTCTGGTACATCGCCGGAAAACCCAATCCGGTACAGGGCCGAAACAGAGTCGTTCACCTCCGGCCACGGCGGCGACCCGGTGGCCATCTCCATTACAGATGCTCAATTTTCTCCGTATGTTGGTGGGATGGGCTTCTCTCCTGCATCATCTCCAGGGTCCAGCAAGACTCCGTAAACTGTCACAACAACTGTCACAACATTGTCTGCTACAACGGTCCGACATGACCCCATAAACTGTCTTCTACATCAGTCTGAAACCCCCATACAGTGTCATCTACAACGTTATGACACCACCATACAGTGTCCTCTACAACGTTATGACACCACCATACAGTGTCTTCACCAACGGTCTGACACGACCATACAGTGTCTCCTATCATTTTTTTATGTATTTTCTTGTTTTGTTCCTCTCTTCAAACTCAAGTTGGTTAGTTTCTATCCTCCTTGAGTTTGCGGGGGGCTGTTAGAATTTATCTCCACCTACCACCTCCACTATCACACACTCCACCTACCACCTCCACTTCACTCCTACACCTACTACCACATTTTCTTCTATATATAGGAATTGTAAATATAGCAACATATCAATCAGAAATCAATCAATAATACAATTCTCTATTTCTCTTTATACATTAAATTTTCTACAAACAACAAAATATATAAGGGGCAGCAGCTAAAAGGGGTTACCATTTTTTTTACATGGTCTTTGTTTGTTAGAGTATTTGGGTCTAGCAAAATGGGCCGTCTTTGTTGCCATCATATAAAAAAAAGTCTGGTCTGATGACTAGCAACAAGAAGGAAAAAATGGGGCAGCAGCTTAAAAAAAATGGGGCAGCAGCTAAAAAAAGGGGCCGCAGTTTTTTGTTTTAGGTTTGTTGTCTAGCAAAAATGGGCTCTCTTTATTTCTAGGCCATATTTGCTAATGGCAGCAGGTTATACACAAGGTTCATATGGGTTATAAAAAGGTTCATGGAAATTTTCATGGGTTATAAAAAAGGTTCAAGGAGAAAAAAAATCTGCTGGAAAGGCAGCAGGTTTTTTTGTTCAAGTAAAAATAAAAATAATAAAATAATAAAAAGAAAAGAGGCTACAGCTTTTGTTATTCAATAAGGCAGTAGGTTATTCATCCTTTCAAGAAGGGTCTTTGTTGGGACTACTTGGACTTCGGGTCTAGTAAAATTTTTGGGAAGGGCTGTCACATGGTGATATACTTGCTGAAAGAAAATATTTTATGGAGAAGAAAGCATACCTAAGAAGAATAACTTTTAGTATCTTTTAGTATCTTATTTTAGTATCTTTCCAGCACCTTTCCAGCAGTAACTTTCCAGCCATTATCTTTTGTGTCTTCTTTAAAGTATAAGAAGAATAACTTTTGTTGGAAAAAGAAGAAAGATAATGCCTGGAAAGTTGCTGCTGGAAAGTTGCTGGAAAGATACTAAAATAATGAAGACCTAATATGTAGAGAAAAAAAGAGAGGCTGCTGGAAACAATCTGCTGGGGAAAATATATGGGTTGTATCTTTTGTATACTCAGAGAGCAATTGCTGCTGGAAAGATACTAAAATAATGAAGACCTAATATGCACCACAAAATCTGCAGAGAAAAAAAGAGGCTGCTGGAAACAATTTGCTGGGAGGAAAAAAAAAAAGTTACAGGGAAAATATGTGGGTTGTATGCATGGATAGGTGTCATATAAGCAAAAATTCTTGCTTAAGAAATGAGGTAGTGTTCTCCTAAAATACTTCAAACAAGCAAGAGTTTAGGTAGGATTTGAAATACTA